CTAAGTTTTGTTATTATTGGTATTTCCTGAAAATTTCACAAAAATCAGACTAAAAATAAAGGTTCAGAATGAATTATAAATTTTCGAGGTGTCCGGTTTGCTCTTAAATAGCATGTCACAATATTGCAACCCCCTTGAATGGAGCGTGTGTAAGGCACTGTTTTAAAAATATGTTTGGTTTCGATTGTTTATATTACCATGATACGCTTTGAGTGATGTTGCCGCTATATTAACTTTGAATATTGCTATGTTAGCGAAATTAGGTATTGGAATGAATATAGTTAGTCAAGCTTGGTAATTGATAGAATTAGCATCTCGGCGTTGCTCTGTATTTTAATTAATAAAACTCGTTGTTTTTGGACTTTAAACATTTGTTTTCTTGAATATTCTTACACGTGAGCGAAGCGTGACCTGAACTACAGTGAGAATCGGCCTTTATTGTTACCTATTAAGTATAACAAAAAGGTAGAAAGATTAAGTATGATGAATCAGCCACGGAGAGAAATTATAAAATAGGTGACATTGTTTTGCTTTATGATCAGACCAGTTCTAAGTTAGAACCATTTTACAAAGGTCCATATAAAATTTTAGAAAATAAAGTGGTAAATGTAGTTATTGACGTAGGAAATAAAAAGTTAGAAGTACACAAAAATAGGGTAAAACCGTTTAAATGTTTACAGTTTATATTTATATCAACATTGTTTTTAACACGTACAATTTTGGGTTTTAGAATGAGGACAATAAAATTATATCTTAAATTGAATGGTTGGTTTTATTCATCAAATATTTATGTAAAATCTAACTTATTATTTTAAATATGAGAATATCACAGACAAACAATAACATGTAGTTCAAACGATGTGATTCAGTTCTAGACAGACCTAAATCAAAGATTCCTCAATGTTGAGCAACGTTGACAATTTTACAATCACAACACAAACCAACAGTGCTGACGATGGAAAAATTACGAACAACAAACAAGATAGTCGACCATTATGATTGGCGATAAACATTATAAACAGCCTTCAAAGAAAGAGGCGTACGTAGAAATCGCGACATGAAAAAAATTAGAAGAAGAGAAAATATGCATAGGCATAAGTCCCAAGGCAGTAGAGTAGACCCATAGCAGAGACAATCCAGCGAGACGTGTAACTCAATATATTTTTTTTGTTCGGTAAAAGTTATTTGGGCGATTGTAACCACAACCAGTCTATGATGGCGCCACTAGTAAATAGCGGGAAAATTAAAAATGCTTTAGGGCGGGAAATTCAAACATGGATTCAGAAATAGTTTTTCTATACAAATTTACAGGAGAAACAAAAACTATTGTTTCACTGTATATTAAAAAATATTAAAGCTTCCAATAACATCAATTTTTTTATCATATAAGTAATCATTTTAATAAAGGAAGTTTTAATCAGTTTAATATAAGCAGTGAACATAGTTTTTATTACTCTTGTAAATTTCGCTAAAAAAAAACTTTCTATTGATTATTAAATATTTAAACTTGGAAAAATAATACACCAAACTCTTTTTCTATAAATTATATTTTTGTAAGGTACAGAAAAACAAACTACAATTGCTTGGTTTAGAAAGTACCTCCTATCATTTTGTGACAAATTACAAAGAAAGTAACAGTTGTTATATATTCATAATATATTTAAAAACTAATGTAACAAATATTTTATAAAGTATAGAGTATATTGATACCTTTTTGCCAGACTATCATAAGTGCCATTTGAACAAATGTCGCTTACATTAGTCTGGCAAAAAGGTATTGATATGTTATGACTGTTTATTTTAATAGAAACCATGGAAACGAAACAAACACACACATACACTCAACACAAATGTATAAGGCCCGAGTCGAGTAAGTTCCCATCCTGTAAACTGGATCGAAACCTGCTAGACCCATTCCATACACCCCCTGCTAACTCCTCTTAGGGTCATCAAGATCAATAGATTTATATGCCATGCCTTCTAAAAAGGAATGAAGGATGACATACTATCATCATTTAAACAAGACGTTGCTACCCCTGTTATTTTGTTTGTGTATCTTGTGCGTGTGCATTCCTGTTGTGTCCCCAGTCATGTAAAAGTTTTCCTAGTCTCCTAATTTGGTTACTAGGTGGACCTTCTCCAACTAGTAGTCTAATCTATTCGATCTGTTCTGCAGCAGGAGGTACTTTTCAAACATAGCAAATAATAATAATAATAAACACTATTTAAAGATGAATACATTTTTGTATTTTTTTTGTCATTGCCCCTTACCTGTCTCTTACACCACCAGGGTATACCTATTTTCCACATTCCTTTAATTACAGATTACCTTACAATGTTTGAATGAATATAACATTTTACCCATGAAAAATCTAATTTCGTATTTAACTCTTTTTCAATTTCATTTGAAACAATTGGTATATTACAATTTATTATCAAGGAAATCTAATAAAGTTATAGCAAATCGTACTTAAACTACTGGTTGTTCTGCAGGATAAATTAAACTTTTCTTGAGATTGATCTCTCTCTCTAAAATGCAAAATTTATTTTCCAATGCATCCTGATTTAAAATTCTGCCCTTTTGTGATTCAATTTTTTTTCTTCCTTTAGAGTGGCTATTAGAGGTAGGTGTATGTAAGAAATAGACAATCTCTAATCATTTCAAAAGTCCTTTGCCAATACTACATGTGCAGATTTTTTACTGGGCATACATTTTACTTTTCTAGTAGGTAGGAACTTTGTGCTACCATTAAAGCTGTCCAGACATTCATCTACCTACTTAATGAACAAAAGTAGCTGTAACAATGGATTTCTGTTCCAATTCACCTAAAATAATTGTAGCCATTATGTAATATATTATTAAACACACATTATACAGTGGTTTTCTTAATAAATTGGAAATTACTTACCTCTAGAAAGAAATGTGTACAAAGACGCGAGTTTGGTTCCAGAAATTGCTTCATGCAAAAAATAATATGCAAAAATAAACAATCCCTCCAAAGAAAATTAAACAACAAAATCAGACTCAAAGAAATAAACGGAGCCCAAATTAAATTAATTTTAATAAAATGCACACGTTCATAACATTGTCAGTTGTCAGTTTTAATCGATACGTCGACGTCAAAAAACCAGCAACATCAGCGACCTCTTAGATTGGTGTTAGTTTTATTGGAGGGAGATAAATATATGTAAAGATCAATGTAAAATAGAAAGAAAGTCATATATGTAATTTAAATGGACCACCGAACACTCTTTCCTATTAAGTTACACGTCTCTGTTGTCTCTGCCCATAGGCAGTCGATTTGGGACTCCGAAAGGAGTGACTCGACCTGGTTTCTGGTGTCGCAGTAGGTAATTAGGAAAAATTACGTTTTCAATTATTTTCTGTCGGTACTTCAGACTTAAAATTAGTAATTTTAGTTGGCATAGTTCGCGGCGTGAAATAAATTGAGATTGATAATGTGAAATTACACCTAAAACTATCTTGGGATTGTTATAAGATAATCAACAACCCTTCGAATAGGTGCAAGTGAGACTTAGGTTCAAACTAATACAAAACTGTCTGGTATCAACTCGTAGTAGAGTAATTTGTATTCGTTAATTTACACTACTCTTTCCGAGGTTTAGAGTTAAAGTTTTCCTATGACCACTTATGGAAATGATAGTTTGCACACTCATTTGTACTTATATCACACGTGTATCATCAATATATATCTCAGTTGTATTGAAAAGTAACAAAACACATGTATTGGAAAGTCGACATTTCGTAACGTGTTAAATACAATATTTTTCTAATTTTGATTCGGATTATTTTTAAAATTGTGTTTTGGTAAAAAATTACTGACATCTAGGCAACCAATGTTACTACTTTCTTGTATTGTTAGTTGCATATGATTAAGTTCATTCTTTTATTAACAACTTGTAGAGTGTTTATATTGTTTGTTATTTAGATTTCAATAAAGTCGGTTATTTTGTCGTGTATTGTGTTTTAATTATTTTGTGCTGATTTAAATGTAAAATAATGAGCAAAACAATTTTACTTCATAGGTTGTATCAATTTGGTTATTGTATTTTTATAAGTCCTTGATATAAACTTTCAATAATAATGTATATTATTGATTTTGAAATCAAAAATGGTAATCTTGTAGTTTAGTGTCCTAAATTTTATAATCATTCTATTAGTTCTTGTCATTTCTACTGTTACAAAATAAAAAATGTTTTGGATGAACATATGTATTGATATACTTTTCAACACGTGTGATATACTTTTCAGTTCATGTGTGATATTGTTTAATTGACTTTCTTATTTGAAAGAGACTTTTTGAAGGATTTTTTGATCGTATTAAAAATAAAGTACAAAACTCGTTAGAATGTTCAGTTTCGGCACTCGCCGCTAGACGGCTCGTGCTAAACTTCAACTCGTGCGAAATGTTACACTTTCTACACTTGTTACGTAATATACTATTTCGTTTGATAACAGCAGTCATGTTTGTACTTACGTTAAAAAAATTCGATAAATGTCTAGTTTGAGCTTTTTTCGATTACTAAAAACTAAGCATTCAGTACTTGTAGGTGGGTAATTGTCGAAAATTCGTTCCAAAAGGTGAAAGTAAAAAAAAAAATTAAAGTAATTTTTTTTATATTCGAAAACATTTATCTGCATAGTTAGAACAAAATCAGTTGCATGGGCGAGATCAATAAATAGACAATAATGGTTTTTTCTTAATTTTCAAAATACAGGTCCACGGAAATGACACAACTGTTCACCGATTTGATTTGAATTTCAAAAAGGCCTTAAAATAATGTTGCTTTTAATTATGTAGTAGGCTCAAAAGTAGCTAAGAAATTAGTTAAGGAAATACCATCAAAGTGAAATCAATTAGAACTTGAGCAAAGTGCTATGTGTGGGTATGTGTGTGGGGCAATAAAAACCACACACAAACATATATATTCAATAAAAAAAGGATACTTGCATCATTATTATTGATATAAATTGACCAGCTAAGCTGATGTATCGCCATGGTACCTTTAAAAGGTTTAAGAGTTACGTTGTTCAAAATGTTATCTATTTTAGAGAATTCACCATCATCAATCGCAATAATTTTAATTCCAGGACAGTTTAGCCTCAGCTCTTCAATCAACACTTCAAAAGTTGGCAGATCTTTTCCCCTTGCAACCAAAGAGTCTGCCGTTCTCTTAAGACAACCACCCACCCCATCTGGCGCACCCTTTCCGTGACCACTCTCGCTATAATTCCAGTACAAAGTCTGGGCACTCAATTGGGGCACTAAATATAGAATGGCAAGTTGGAACATTTTTTTGTTCCTATACTGGCTGGAGGGTCCATCACTTACAAAATAAATAGTACGTAAATGAGGTATTAATTCTTTAGTTGTTTTTAATATTGGTGTTAAGTGGGCACAAATCGCTGCTGGGTCGTGTCTTAAATTTTTCGAAAACGTTCCAAAACAAACCGTACCACCTTTGTGATACATGACCACAGTATGTATTGATATCTGCGGTTTAGATCCGCCAAAGTGGGCAGATTGGATTTCTTCGCTGTACTTACAAGTATAGTTTTCCGAGAAATCCATGTGCATGATGGCTTCATTCGTTTTAAGATTTTTTTTTTAATATATTTATTTCCTTATACTGGTGCATAACGTTGGTATAATGTTGCATAAAATGTGGCATATTTTTGTTAAGCTCTAGCACAGCCTCATATTTTGAACAAAATTTATTTTCTTTCACAGTCTTTAGACACAGCTTCTCTTGGCCTTTAACTATAATTTTTGTTTTTTTTGTTAACCAGTTTTCATATGACATTTTTTCTTGACCGTTAAAAGTATTACAAACTATTGTTTTATTTTTACATGATTCACATTTTCTTTCCAAACAGTCTTCATTTAGCTGCCCCTCGCAACACATTGATTTCAAAATTTCTTCAAGACTATTTTCGTTAATAATTTTTTCTAGTTTTAATCGTTTCACTATCAGTGACATATTTGTATGTATTTTACAAAGACAGGTGTATCGTTCGGCCACTTTAGGAGAAAGAATCCAAAACGGCCTCAGCTTGCAAAATGTAGAGTAGCTCATTCCTTTATAGGTGCTATTTTTAATAAACTTGGAATAAAGATTTTTTAACGAGTTGTTTAGGTACCTTATTTGCTTCTTAGTCTTGTGTCTTGTAACTGTTTCTTTTTTGCCAGCTGTTAAACGGCTAGCATCATCTTCTTCTAAAAATTTTCTTACTGCATCTTTTGCTCTTATAATCTTTAAATTTTGTTGTTTCTTTTTGGAATATTTTGTAAATGCAAGTCTTTTTGAAGTTAGAAAACTTAACCGGTGACTATATTTAAATTTATTAATCAACGGGCCTTTTAAAACGGTTGAAAACATTTTCATTCTTTCCTTTGAAGAATTTTGTTGTAAAAAGTTCTTTTTTATTTGTTGTGTTATTACCTCACCAAACAATAGATTTCTTTTCACTTGAGGGGTAACAGATTGGTTTTTTAAAATAGACTCAACATTTTTCTCAGGTGTAGTCATTAGATGTTGTTTAAGCTTTTTTCTCAGACGGCTGCATTTACTCTTGTATCTATTTCTTTGGTTCGTAACTTTTTTTAAATTTTCAGTAAGTTTTTCTCTCTCTCTTCTCCACTTCTCACGATTTTTTTTAATTATTTTCCGTCCGCAAGCAATTCTGCTTGTAGAGGGGATCTGCACATTATTATTATGATGCAATAGCTGCAACTCAACATCATGATCAGGAGTCGGTAGTGGTGAAATGTCCTTAATAAACTTAGTAAGCTTTTCTTTCGCTTTTTTGGCTAATCTGTGCTGCTTTGATCTTTCTCTCCATTTTTTTCTAAAATCTTTCACTTCGCGCCGACTTAAATCTTTAATTCTAGGTATTAAACCCGCTTCTTTCTTTTTTTTGTATCTTTCTCTGTCCCTTTTCTTTACTTCTTCATGCTTTATAGGATCACTTTTTAATTTTTCCCTAGCTCTTCTCATACTCAACTTCTTCTGTTCTGTCCGTTTCTTGAATTTTTCGTCTCCTTCTTTGCCTTTTTTGCACGGCTTTTTATCGTTTGCCTTGGGCATTATTCTCAGTCTAAAATAAGTTTTGCATACATCAAACTACAAAGATTATTACAATATCAGTCACTTCCATGGACACTGATCACTTCCGTGGACACAGAGAGTCCACAGAAGTGATGTCCACGGAAGTGACAGAATATACAAAATTATGCTTTAAACATGTTTTGAAAGTGAGGTTATGATCTTTTTGCAGAAAATATCTCTCATGTTATTATAATAATGGTACCAAATCAGAAATAGAAATTATTTTACTATGTTTTACCTGTTTTTTCCAGGCCACAGAAGTGATATGTTGATCTTGTCACACCTGTATTTTAATAACTTTTTTTTATAACAAAATAACGGTCAACCATAACGCGCTGACGTTTGCTCACCAACTAAACCGCATGGTTAGAAATATCATCACCTGTTTTAGCGACTCTAGCGCCATCTATTATTAGAACACCGGATTTGTTTTATGTCCACGAAAATTTATTAACACATGGGTAACGGTTCCAAATATAAAGGTAATGTTTAAAAATAATAAATATTAGACTTTTTAGGCATTTCAGAGGGTTGGCTAATTGTTTGTGAATCTACAAAAAAAATTTAGTTCATAAAAAAGCACTCATTACATTGTTAATTAGAGTGAATTAATATAGAGCATTTACAAGGTAACGTCCTCGGAAGTGACTTTTTAATACTTTAATTTTATTAAAATCCAAGCATATTTTTATAGAAATAAACTATAGCATTAATAAGCACTTTTGTAGTTTGTAATTTAAGAGTGGCAAGCTTTTTAAATATACTTTTTATTTTTCATTTTACATTAGGTATCAGAGGTTTGAACGTATTTTTAAGAATAACCCAGGTATTACTGTAAACAAAAAACCTATCTTGTGCAAATATTAAAATTACGTAAAGAGTACCTAAACATTTTTATTATCTGTAATTATAAGATCAAACGAGCTTACCTGAATTGAAGTTCGATCTTAATTATATGATGCCTCGTCGAAGTAAATAAGATCTTGTCTTATCCCTGTATATGGTTCGATTCGGTCACATAGTTGAAAGATGGAACTATTTGCTATATTCCCTTCTCCGCTGATCCCCTTATTTCAATACTTTGCTTTAGTCATTTCATAGCATACTTGTTGCAACTTAAAGGGGACTTTAGAAATATTGGATGGGTCTGGGACTTACACACAACCAAACTTATATGGAATCATCTATTATTTTTCATAATTTTTAAGATGTATGAACATTTTTTGTTTATTAATAACACTCAGTCCTTACCAAAGACTTTTAATGACAAATAACCCACATGGCAATAAAAATAATCAATTAGTTGACAAAATAAACACAATGGTATTGGTTTCTGAAACGAAATGAGATTAAAATTTTTAATTTAAAATCAAAAAGAAAATTGACCATTTTAACAATCCGTGTTGCCACCTCTAGCCCTTATGCAAGCTTCTATTCGCCTTGGCATGCTTCTTATTAAATTGTCAACATTGTCTTGGAGTATGTTTTCCCATTCTGCTAATGCTGCATCAATAAGCTGTGCGACATTTCCTGCATTGTTTCGACGAGCTCTAACCCTTCTTTTGAGCTGGTCCCTCAAGTGTTCGATAGGATTTAGGTCTGGTGAACATGCAGACCAGTCTAAAACTGTGACACCTTTCGTTTTACGACATTCTCTAGCCACTCTGCTGGTATGGGGAGATGCAATATCGTGTATAAAGATAAAATTATCCCCAATTGCAGTTCTCCAAAACCTAACGATTGGTTCTAGTACTAAATCAACATACCGCGGACCAGTTAAAGTTTGTTGAAGTTAGACCAGAGCATACTGGCGCTTTCGTTTGCAAAATTGTTTTAATTCGTATTTTTTTTTTAAATGTCCAGAAGGCTTTCCTGCTTATAAAAGTGTAAGATGACACTCGATATCTGTTGATGTTATTGTTTAAACAACGAAAAATTAATTAAGCCAGAAAAAATGCATTTTTTGCAATGAATTATTTTTTTTAATATTCTTTAGGATATTTCGAATAAAAAAAGTCCTTACGCCCATCATCGTATGTTTAACCCTTTAATTGTTATGAATGTTTTAAAATCCGAAATTGACGAAAATTCTAATTTTCTTGAATTAAATAATATACCTTAAAATATAAAATGCTATAATTTTAAATTTTTTACCAAATATTCAAACTAAATAAAATAAACAAAATAACCTAAATAAATGTTCAAAATTTTATTGTTGTTTTTTTACGTTATAACAATATGCTTCCTACGCGCGTGTACTTTTAGAGAGAAGTACTTCTATCTCACTTCCAACTCAATGTATAAGATGGGTAAGAGAAAGCCCGATGACGCGCTGAATCAATTTTTTTGCTGTTTTTCAGAGATAATAAGTTTAAAAAAATATTATTAACATTTTTCATAACACTTTGTTATATTTGCCGATTAATAGTTTTGTATCATGTGATTATTCCCCTCTGCACATCTGTTAGTCCAACATAAGGCATTTTGTTGTTTTTGTGGAACGTAATAAAATTACCGGAGGATCATCGTGATTTTACTTCTAAACACATAATTCACAAGATAATAAATCTGAGCAATCGTTTCTTCTTTATTTTCATGTTAATTTTGAACAAAAAGCTTTATCTTAAAGTTGGATACCAAATGTTTTTCTTACAAAAAGTTTGTTCAGAAATACACAGTGTATTTACTATAATTAAGATCCGGTGAGTTCGTTTGATCTCATAATTATATTTCTGCCCCGTCTCGTAAATAAGATCTTGTCGCTGTTTAAAGCATGTTGCAACAAAAATTACGATATAACGTTTTATTTATATTTAACTGATTATAAATTAAAAAATTATATTATCATAATTGACCCACTTTCTAGAAACTGAAGATGTAGAGATATGTCATGAGGTAAGAGCTAAGAGGTAAATTGCTCCATATTAATTACTCAAAATGAACTTCATCCATCTGATCTGCGTGGAGGCAGCATGATGCGGCTTCCTAATTATAATAAACAGGCTACCACAATTACCCCTTAGGTATTTAATGTTTTCTACATATTCTAACAAGGTTGTTGCTACGCAAACACCTGGGTTTATATAAAAGAAAACGGAAGGTTTAACATGAGATGAACTCTACTGTTAGCTGATATTTTTAATATTTTCGTTATCTTCATCACAATTTCTTGTTCTTTTCTGACAATATTTTGTATTTCTATGGCTATAAAATTTGAATGCGCTAACCAATAAACAAGATCAGTAACACTACTAATTTATTGGCTAAGTTTTCGACACTACATTTTTGTGTCCCACGTGTTTTTTTATTTAAGCACATCTGGTTTTAAACCAAAAATACTTCTAAAAAGTCTTTTTGTTTTTGAATTCACTAGGCAATATAATATAGAATTGATCTTTACGGCACATAAACAAAGCTTGATCATAAAAAAATCATGAGAAATCGTGAGATTGTACTACGCATAACTAGCGAAATAGATATATTTTCGATTTTTATGTACTTTATCCTAACGAAAAGCAAGGAATGGCCGACTTTTAAATCTCAGTACCTCTAACATGTATGATAAAGACAAAAAATAATTAGCAATATATTATCGATATATCGATAGTGTTTTACTATCGAAAACTATCGATTGTTTTAAGTAATCATAGATTTACATGTTTTTAGTAGTTTTCAAGTTGATTTTCACAGAATTCGATCAAAAAAACTAAAATTAAAAATAAAACCAAATAAGAATGCACTCAGCAATTCAGCACTAGATGATAAATCTATTTTAAATATTGCCCTAGCTAATTTTTTGACATACGCACGCCACAAATGTGACTCCTGCCTCCACCTGGTTTCTTTTGTCACTGCTTACTGGTTTTTGTTTTTTTTTACATTTTTTTTTATTACAAATATTTTGTTTTAGTACAAATAAAATGTATTTACTATACTACGTATCAACCGTTGAATCAACGTTGGTATAGTTTCGATAGTACTATTGAGAGTAACTCTTGAGACTATTGGAAATAATCGATAGGATAGGGCCAACTATGGAAAGTATCCGACTACTTGCTGGTGACTGTCAAGTGTTGTCGTTCGTCATATTTCGGCCAACGTATTAGCACGTTTCAGGGTCGGACTTTACAGCATAATTCAATTATTTGATTAATTAAAAAGAATCGTTTTTACATAAAAAGTTAAGGTTCGTTTCTGCAACTTGTTAAAAAATATCGTGAAAATCAGGCGCATTATCGTGAGACTCAGTACTGAATCGTGAGATCTCATGATAAATCGTGAGATCTCATGATAAATCGTGAGATCTGGGATCCCTGGACTGAAGTAAAGTATTGAGATAAGGGGATCCGCGGAGAAGGGAATATAGCCAATAGTTCCAGCTTGCAAATATTATGTGATCGAATCGAAGCATATACAGGGATACGACAAGATCTTATTTACGAGACGAGGCAGAAATATTATAATTATATTCAAAGGTATTTATGTTTATTTCTACGGTGACAGTTTTAACACTACGCCAGCCTGCTTGACCAATATTACGTGGTTCTAAGTAACACAATGCTGAAAATGGGAAAAGTTAAAAATTGGTATTTTTTTCAAAACATTTTTGTTCCCCTTCATTCTGTTGGGTGTAAATAGAAAGTTAACATAGAAAAAGAATAATTATTTACAAAAAAATATATATTTCTCGATTAAAAAAAAAAAAAAAAAAAAAAAAAAAAAAAAAAAAAAAAAAAAATGTGTATCATTCAACCTTGGAATATTAACAAAATGATTTAGATATTTAAAAAATAAAAAAATGTGTTCTTAAACTAAAGTTTTAATACCCTTAAAAAGAAAATGCATTTTTAACATAAAACATAAAATACAAAAACATGAAATTTTTTATGGTTTAATGTTTTAACATACAATTTTGTTGTCCAGTCAATAATTAATAATACCCATTAAATAGGGGGGGTCCTTACACCCTTGTATTTCTTCTATTTGTATTCGTTGTAATACTTTTAAGTATATCAAACCAGGTTCTGTGTAGCCCAGATGTGTAGCAAGTATTAACAAAAATTTATTTTTATTTATTTTTCCTACAAAGGAAATCAAACTTCTTCAATCTGCGATTCTCCAAATGGGATTTTCGTTTTCTTTCGGCCTGAATTATTCAGGCGATAATAATTCTACTTATCTTTGAGACAGATTTGGTTATTCATTCTCGCATTCAGTGATATTTCTTCTCCCTGAAATTTAAAGTTTTTTATTTTAACAAAATTGTGACATCTACTATCACTGTATTAGAAAAATCTCTTCAGTTTTTTAGGTAGGTCAGTAATTTTAATATTACAGTGCAACCTCTTTAATCCGAACACCTAATTGTCAGACCTTGTTCGGATTATCGAATTGTTCGGATTAACGAATATACAATAAAACACCTCTTACACATTTTTAGACCTTTAGATCTATGTATGTATATTGATTTTTGTACATTTAAATGCATTATCAAACTACATATGGGCGACGCAAGCCGCGCTGCAGGTCTTTTCCTGTCAGCGTTCGGATTACAGAGGCGGCGTTCGGACTATCTCGCATCACGATTTGCGTTCGGATTAGCGTAATTCGGATTAGCGTGGGTTCGGATTATCGAGGTTGCACTGTATTTAGAATCAATAAAATTGGTAGATAAGTCCAAAAACATACTGTTATGCGTGTTTTCGGTAAACTCAATTTATTTCAACTCAAACTTTTACAACTATATTATTAACGTACGTCTATCATAAAACTGAACTGTGATGTCAGGATCATCGACTTAACTCCATTGACCCTTCTCGAACCTTCCACATAGTTCTTTTATTCGTACTTTTACTTTTGACAACCACAGCACACTGTAGGGTGATGAGTGACGTTGCACTTCTTCTTTTGTTAATACGTTTCATATAATAGCCGCAGGGTAACAGTACTTTACAGTTTCAAGTGGGAGAATTCCAAAGTGTTTCTATGGGACTAGATTTTTGTTCCCAAAATAAGAATCACCAATTTTGCTATTTTCGCTTTTATTTCCAATGTAAAAGGGGAAACTTGAAAACCTAAATTACGATTCTATAATTTCAACTGGTTTCAATAATCTTAATTTTTTATGTACAGGATGTTGTTATTTTAGTTTGATTCTTTAAAACTATTCTTATCTGAGCAGGTTTTTATCCAAAATGATTTTAATCTTTTATTTTTTCAACTTGAGCTACCCACAAATTGTTTCCATATAATATTAATATCGTATTTTTTTTTTATTTGCAGATTTAAGATGACACAAGCGTGGAAACATGTTGATGACGCATCAATGGATATATGGGCATTTTCCGACTATAGTGGTCACGATGTTGACATACACGAACCTCCCCCGCAATCTATATTGCATTATAATGCTAGGGTAGGTGCTAATAATAATGTGAGCATCTTTGATACTGATTTTCCTCATGAAGAAGTGACATATGTAAGTTCAGGCCGAGGGAGAGGAGGCGTTAGTAAATTTTTTAAACCTGGACTGCCAGTTAATCCATGTCTAGACGAAGAGGAGGATATTAAAAGAAGATTAAGAGAAGTAAGTATTTTATCAATATTATAGACTACATTATACTACTGGTAGTACTTAATGAGTCCTGCTTGATCCTACCTGGTGAAAATTAAATGCATCTTTTCTACCTTTTCTTCAAAAAATCCTGAAATTTTTTGATCTCTCAAATGTCACACCAAAACTGTATCTGTACTGCCAAGTAGTTTTTATGGCTGTCACGAAATAGCACGTATCAAAAGAGCACCTAAACGAAATAACGCGTATCAAAAGAGCCTCAGTCAAAACAGAGCCAGAACGAAATAGCCATTTTTTAAATAGCGTCAGTTGAAATAGGACCAAAAAAATTAACAGAAAATGATTAAAAAAACTAAACTAATTTACCTAACCTGTACGGCCTGGAGTTATCGCGGCTTGATTTTCAAAAACTAACTAATTTACCTAACCTGTACGTGAGCGATCGTTTAATTTTAAATGGCTCTATGCTGTACAGGTTAGCTAAATTAGTATTTTTTTTTTAAATCAGTTTATGTAAAAAAATAATAGCGCTATTTTGAAACGTGCTATTTCGTTTGGTGGTATTTCATGACAGAGCCATTTTTGACTGACACGGTTTCGATACTCACTATTTCAAAAGGTGCTATTTTATTAAGTGCTGTTTCGTTCGGGCGGTGTTTTGACCGACACTCTTTAGATACACGCTATTTTCTTCAGGCACTCTATTGATTGGTTGCTGTTTACTTTTACACAAGCGTTATTTGATTGTTTTTCAGGTATCTGGTTTAGGTTATTCCAATGAATTAATAGAACACCATTTTAAGAAAACTGTTCCTTCGCCTAATCATGTTAATGAAACGGAGTTCTGCGATGTTTCGGACGACCACGATGATGATCAGCCATTAATTAACGATTCTCCAGAAAAAAATAGGTTTAGTTCTCCCGTTTCATCAAAAACTGAGTCACGTAGAGTATCAATAACAAGTCATTCTTCAAATACATCTAGCCCAAAGAAAGAAATGCCAATTGACAACCAAGTCAGGCCTCTTCCGCTAAGCCTTATTCTAAAAAAAGCAAAGGAAAAAACGTCCAGTACTAACAAAGAAAATAATTGCTCAGTAGAGTCATCTTCAAAATCAAATGTGCCAATGAAAGTTTTTAAGAGCGAGTTAAATCCTGATGCTGCCGAATTTAAGGTAATATAATTTGTTAATATTTCGACTTTAAAATATTTTTTAAAACTACAAATTATTAATAAATATACTAATTCAAATTATTAATTGCAAAAAGTGTTTGCTCATCTATAACCAGATAAAATACATAATAATAAATTGAATAGAAAACAATGGTGCTTCCATCCCATGTTGGAGCAAAACCTAATATATCATTGTATTACAGGGTAGGGTGTGTCTTTTAAAACGAACTGTATAAGGATTTCGGGAATGAAGATATTACGAAATTGGTTAAATTGGTCAAAAGTAAATAATTCTCATCACAATTCATAACCACTTTCAGGTTTCGAAAAAAGGTGGCTAGATATTGGAAATAGTAGTTTGTGCAACAAAAGTGAATATGATGGCCATATCGATTATCTTATTAACTTTTTAAATTTTAATAAGGAAAATTCGTGTCTAAAATTTGCAAACTTAAATATAAGCTCATTATTTCCCAAATTTAACGATATTTCACAATTAATTAGTGATACCTTCGACATTGTATGTGTCACAGAAACTTGGTTAAGTAATGAAATAAATTCAGATGTAGTTTCTTTAGATGGTTTCAACTTTTTTAGGAAAGATAGGTCGGATAGAGTGGGAACTGGTGTGGCCTGTTATGTAAAAGAGTGCTTTCCTTGTGTACCTGTAAACTTTTATTTTAATAATATATCCTTTGATTATTTGTTTCTTAAAATTAAGATTAATACATATAATGTTGCTTTCAAATTTTTTAAATGATATTATTCCTCAATTGTTATCTGAATATGACTTCTCTATTATTACTGGTGATTTAAATGTAAATATGGGGCTCCCCAATTTAATTCTTGATTTATTTGATACATATGGTTATGTAAATGTTGTCAATGAGCCAACAAGGATCGCGGCAACTTCTGCTACCTTGATTAACCCTATTTTTATTAACTGTAAAGTTATTTGTCGTAATTATAGTACTGTTCCAATCCATTTTACTGATTATAATAAAATGCCTTTTTGTACACTCAATATTACAGTAAAAAAATAAAGCAAAAACATGTAACTTTAAGAAATTTCAAAGATCTTGATATCGAACTTTTTAAAAGAGATTTGTCCTTGTTACCTTGGGATAACATTTTTTTCATTGATAATATTAATGAGAAAGTAAACTTTTTAACCGATAATATATTACTCATTTTTGATGTCCATGTCCCTTTTAGAACTTTTAGATTCAGTAAACCACCAGCTCCTTGGCTTACAGATAACCTAAAACGGATCCTTAAAAAAAGAGACCAAGCATTGTCTAAATTTAATCCACAAAAAACTACTGGAAATTGGGACAACGATAAAATGTGCAGAAATTTTGTTTTGGCTTCTATTATAAGGGAAAAGGCAGCATATTTAGATACAATTATTAGTGCATAATATTAATAATAATGCCTTAAAGACAGTATCGTCCCAAAATGATCTCGGCGTTATCATTACTAAAGACTTAACGTGGTCAGAGCATATATTATCAGTATGCAAACAATCAAACTCTCAACTATTCTTATTAAAAAAGACTCTTGGTAATGTTTCACCCTCAACATTTTTGATAATATACGCAACATATGTTCGTACTCGCTTGGAGTACTGTGGTCCTGTTTGGTGCCCCGTATTAATCTCGGCTCAAAAGAGGTTGGAAAATGTGCAGCGACTTGCAACAAGGCTTCCGTATGGTATAAGAAGGCCACCGTATGAACAGCGTCTGTCTACCGCTAATCTGACACTTTTTAGTTAGCGTCGACTGCGTGGTAATTTAATCGTTGGTTTTCGCGCAATTAGGCACATGTTCGGTGTCGATCTTTCGGATTTATTTGTATTAAATAATGACCTGCGCCTACGTGGGCACATGTACAAATTAAAAAAGGAAAATTTTAACTCTAGAGTTAGGCAAAATTTTCTTTCAAACCGAGTTTTCTCTGTATGGAACAATTTACCTGATAACGTTGTATGCGCATCTTCAGTTAACTCGTTTAAAAACCAATTTGATTTGTTAGGCTAAGTATGTATATATCTGTATAGACACAATAAATTATAATCACAACAAATTAGTAATGTAACTTAACGTAATTTATTGTCTTTATACTTTCATTTTTTTTTAATCAATTTATAGTTATAGTTTATAGAACAAAAATTGTTTATTTTTAACTAATTTTTTTTTGAATAATTTGATCTTTATAGGACTTCGGTTCTCAGCTCATGTCAGTGAATAATAATTGCAGACAAGCAAAAATGATAAAGCTTTGTGGAAAGGTCTACATAACATGAACATTCTTGCTCTACTACGAATGTAGAGTTACCTTCAACATTATGTAATCCTTCTAAAATTAATGATTATTTTCTTAGTGTTTTTAATAAATCAGGCCAGTGTAAAGATAAAATATTATTTTATTCAAATAACCAATTTGGTAACAGCACGTTTGCATTTAACCTCGTTACTCAAAACATAGTGTTCGATGCTATAAACTCTATCAGTTCAAATGCTAGTGGAAGAGAGGGTATTTCATTGCATATGATAAAGTTATGCTGGCCAATAATTGGCGATTACATCACTCATATCATAGACTGTTGTCTGCAATGTGGATATTTCCCAAAGGCTTGGCGTGAATCCATTGTATGTCCAATTAAAAAAAAAAACTAAGCTAGATTCTGTCCGTGATCTTCGTCCAATAAGTTTATTACCAGTTATCTCTAAAATTCTTGAAAGAGTGGTATACTCTCAATTGCATGAATATGTTTGAGCAAACAGCATTTTACCTAGTGAACAATCAGGCTTTCGTAAAGGTCATAGCACCACTTCTGCAATGCTAAATTTGAATGATAATATTATAAGAGCTATGGATAAAAAGATGGGTGTCATTTTAGTTAGCTTAGACTACTCCAAAGCGTTTGATTTAATTGACCACGATTTGCTGTGTGCAAAACTCAAATATTATGGTTGCAACCATATAGTATTATCTTTTTTTAAGTCATACCTATGGAGGCGGTCCCAGCGAGTGTCTGTGGACAATAATCTTTCGATGTCTAAAACTATTGTGTCAGGTGTACCTCAAGGGTCTCTTTTGGGCCCATTACTATTACTCATATACACATCAGACCTTCCTAAAATAATAATAGCTTATTACAACTCTATGCTGATGACACACAATTAATACATATTTTTGATCCTTTTGACGTTGATATCGCAACAAACTCAGTCAATACTGACCTAACTTTGATTAGGCAGTATTCTAAGGCAGACTATAATTTGACCATTAGCCCATTAAAAACGACTGCGGTTTTGTTTTGCAGTAAAGCTAAACGAGGTACTACTGAAAGCTTTTTAAAACTAGAATTGGATGGCCTTAATATTAATATTTCTGAAGAGGCAAAAAATTTAGGTTTACTTATTGACAATAAACTTTAAAAGTCACATTAAAAGCGTACTACAGAAATGTTACATCAGTATGCGGTTACTCTATATTAATAAGCATATTTTGAACTTCAAAACTCGTAAAAAGCTATGTGAAAGTCTAGTTCTTTCACTACTAAATTATTGTTTATTTCCCCTGTTTAGATAAGCTCTCCTAAAGCCAGCTTCAGCGTGTTCAAAATAACTGCTGTAGATATATTTATAACTTAAGAAAATTTGATCATATCTCACATTACTTCTCTCAACTTAAATGGTTAAAAATTTGTAATTTGTTCACCTTACATTTTATGAATTTTCTATTCCGATTAATTAAATTCAAAAGTCCGGTATATCTATTTGAAAAGATCATTTTCCGTAATGCGGTCCATACACGTAACATAAGACATAATACTCTTATCATGCCCCATCACTCTTCTGCTAAGTTTGAAAGATCATTCACATGCAACGCAGTAAGTTTATTTAATAACTTCAAGTTTTTAAACTGGAGTTGTTCACTACCTAGTTTTCGACTCAATTTAAAAAGTTATCTTTTAAGTCAACAATAACGTTTATATCACTGCTTGTGTAAAAAAAGAAAATTTTGTGTTTCATAAATAAATTTAATTTTTTTGCATGTGTCTATTTAGGTTAAGCAATGAAAACCTGATAGGTTAAGAGTTAGAGTAGCTTGAAGCTAATCTTCGCCTATCTGGTGCAAATGTTGAACATTTGTTCAATAAAGATATTTTTATTTATTTATTTATCGCACGAAGACGAAATTTGAGCACTACGAAAATACAAATAAAAAAAAATTAGGTTATTAAGACAAAATAAGTAATTTTAAAATAATTTAGGACTTTTAATAATTTTTAAAATAAAATCAACAAAAAAAAGTTCATTTCATTTTTCCCCACCCGAGAAACGAACTCCAGTCTTCAGTTTGGAAGGCAAGAACGCTAACCACAGCACCACCTATTCTTTAATTTTTGCTGGTTTAATATTCGTAATTTGACTTCATATAGTTTTATTTAAATTAACAAATTATTTATAATTATAGACGATATAAAATCAGAAATGCTATTATTTACCGATTCTACACAAGAATAACCCATTTTAATGAATGTTTAATCTCAATAACTAAAAAATATACTGACAATTAGTTTAACAGAATTATCACTTATTTAAAATTTTAAAAATAATAGCAGTTGGTTGATCAAAATATAAGCGGTGATTGGTGGATTTAATTTTTTTGTAGTGTTCTCACTACCTAGAATGGATATGAAATATATTCGTTCAGTTGAAGGCAACAGCATACTTTTTCGTTTTGTAATCTGTGCGTAGATAAGCTAATATCCATGTGGGTGTAGAAATTTTTTTTATATATTTTGAAATCACGTTGTAGTTCATTTTAAGTAGGTCACCCTTTTAGGTAGGTCCCTATGCTGTTATTTATGGATATACGTAATAAGCTATACAAACTTAATCCATTCTGTTTTCTACCACCTTAAATCCCAAGAATACTAGTTTGTGCAATACGCGCTTTGTGCACATGTTGCACAAAATTTTTTTCTAC